CCGAATGTGCGCCAATAATTTTCAAATGTCATCGATTAAAACAAATCGCATAAAAATAACGGCAGATGAGGGGGGTCTTCAGTCTACGCATATATGCAAAGAAGTGCAACATTTTGACGTTAAAGTTTTTATTTCGTCCGTAGGCGTTTTGCAGAAAAATACATTGTGCGTCTTGCCGCCGGCGTGGACGGGGTACAGTCGGCATGTGATTCATGCGTAACCAGCATTCTGATTGGTTAGTTATGCGCAAGCCAGAAAGCGCGCGCGTTCAAATTGCATTTGTGCACAAGCCAAGAAAAAATTGAGTTAAATGGTTGAAGCGCATGAACCAGGGAAAAATGGACTGTCAGTACAAGCGAGATAATAGCATGGAACAATGTTAAAAATTTATTGCAGGATACCTCTGCTTCTTCGCGTGAAATACGTGCAATGGGCCGTTTATAAAATAAAAAACCTTAACATTACAGAATGTATGCGGGAACCTTAACGTATCCATTGAACTGTCTTTTTTCACACAACGTCCTTCTGGCTACCCACATCATTTCTTCCAGTTACAGCTTGGGAGGAACTCGACATTTGCGTTTTCGGAAATCTCGATTCAAACTGAACAATAGTCATGGATATGTAACCATAGTTAAGACTTCGCACTTGGAATGTTAGGTCGCTTTCATCTTGGTGAATCATATTTTAGTGCTATATGATTCAGCAAAAGCAGTAGCATCCTATGAACTTGAACCGCCAGGGATTCTCCTGAGGCTTACCTCGCTCAGCCACCAAGCCAAGACCGGCCATTGGTGCAAATTTCTTTTGAGCAGCTGAGCCTCATATGCAATGGTTATACGTTTCTCTATGGATCACGTAACTAGGACCAGCCAATCATTTGCTTCAGTTTGGCTTGTGCATGAATAGACTTCCGGTACAGTCAGCGCACAGCCCATCTGCAAGCCAGCGTTCTGATTGGCTGGTTCACTCAAGTGTTATAAGGCCCTTACGTTCGAATCGAACCAAATTGCAATCCATTTCACAGGCGAGTTAGACACCTATTATTTACAGAATAAGCCAGGATGAGTAATCAGAAGGTACAAAAATAAGTTTCGGTCTTCTGTGGGAGACCCAGAGAGTGTCGAAGTTAGTCTGTGCGTGTTACCCAGCGATCAAGTTGTGCGGCAGCATAACCGCGCTGTTCTAAAAGAACATGTATGATATTAGTTAATTTTGTTGGTCAGCTGAGAATTTTTCACATGGTTTACCGGTAATCACCTGACGCCTTTCGTTTGTCCTTGCCATGTGACAGATCTGAACCAATCATTTGCTTGGGTTTGGCTGGCTGACATACTGTCTTCGAGTGTGTGGCCTTGAGGATAGGAACTGGAAGACAGCGTGACTCTGTGATGTTGTAGTTCGTCTGCGTCCAGGTTTGCTCTTGCTGCTAACTCGAGGCAAATCTCCAGGTAAACCTCGAGGTTTCCATGGCTGTAAAACTATAGCTTAAGATACAAGCTAAGGCTATTAATTTCTTCGGGGGTCGCTGGACTCCAAACCAACTGCCCATGGTGCATGCCGGGTTGATTTCCTTCGCCCCAAGACGTCATATGTTCACATACAGACCGTATCCGATACTGAGGAATAACGCTATGCGATGGGCAATCGCAGTTGCAATTCCAGCGATAGGGTCAGCTCTATATTACACCTGTCTTGATGGTTCTGGCAAGCGAAAAATTAACCGCCACTTATCGGCTGCACAACGTTTTGTGAGGTACAGTGTGCTGAAAGCTGTGCCTTAATTAAAAGAGCTGTCTTCGTAGGAACTTGTATTTCTTTGGACTATAAGTGGACCTTGTTTTGGAATGAAGAGGTGAGTCCAACTGAAAAATCACAGTGCCAATATATGGAACCTCTTCTAGAATGGCCCTACGTACGATCGAGAGCTTATCAATTGTCACCAGAGGTCTGCTGATAGAATTTTACGAGGGTGCCTCGCCAATGGAGGCCTTTATATCAAGATGGGACAAGGACTTGTTAGCTTAAATCATGTGCTCCCGAAGCAATATACAGAAACCCTGGAACGCTTACATGACCAAGCCCTGGTGCGAACGGCCAAAGAGGTAAGCATAATTTCGTTTTCATTGTTTGTTTGGTTGAAGAACGTGCTCGCATTTCTTATCATTAGTGCACCATTCGTTTTGTCGAATTCACTGAACCGTGTGGGGGTACGCGTATTTATCGTTATCTATACGACTTCCGATGACACCATTTTATCCACCGCGTCTAAAATCGAAATGGGGATAAGAACAGAAAACGCAAATCCACCAAACACGAGCACAACACGATGGGTTATTTTAAGCGAAAACTGCAACTAAGGTCCCTAGTTTAGTAAATTAGTCGCTTGTTTCTTGGTGCTAGATAACAAAGGATCAGTTACTTGTTGTTTAGTGTCGTATGCGGCGTTAATGGTTATTATATCTGAGGATCTGCCAGTTATGCCACAACTAACAATACGATCACAATGTGTGCCGACCGCTCGAGGAAGAATGTGAAGTACGAATATGTATCCAACTCCAGACCATGGGAAAGTGGTTTTATGGAAGATAGAACAACCGACAAGCAGGTTACGCGCAATAGATACAAGAAGTTAGTCTACCTCTGCCTCTCGACTTCCCCTGTTTAGGCTTGGGCAACCTGACAGCCCTCGTGCTTCCTCCGGGTGGCATGACAGCTAGGTACCGGAACGATGAAATATAACTAACCATCCATTCTGTAACGTTTGACTTCAACGATAATCCACGGATGACCATGTCGGGTGGTTGTAGTAGTTGTTGCAGCAACTGTGATGTGGAGCGATCACCTAGTTTGGCCGCTACGACTTGTGGCAGGGCTTACTGATGTGTGCAGTCTGTGCCTACCGCAATTTTTCGTAGTGGGCACCTGCATTAGGAGTATCCAGTGAATCACTCACGTTGCCGGTGATGTTTATTGGCAGCGGTGATACAACCTGATAATACTTCATCAGTTTGCTCGTATAGTTACCTACAGCGAACATGACCTTTAACCGACTGAACCGAGATTTCGAATTACTATCACAGAACGACGGGATGGGATAATCAGAGCATTCATCGCTTGTATCCTGAGTTGTGAAGCGCCTCCCTTCTTACCGACCAGGGTTGATATGGCTCACGTGGTTGGAGCACGAATTTACTGATCGGAAGGTCCGTTGTTCGAACCCGACCTCTGCCTCTCGACTTCCCCTGTCTAGGCTTGGGCAACCTGGCGGTGTCTTAGCCCTCGTGCTTCCCCCGGGTAGCATGACAGCTACGCATCGGAAGGGTGTTACAGCTGATTGACTGTCTCTGTATCAACCAGGACTATCGACGTGCTCTGTGACGGGCAATAAGTGTGCGTTTTCGCACCACCAGGCTGAGCTGTATTACACGTTGAGCTATAGAAAATTGTACCTCCTTCGATTTCCTAAACAGAGGCATCACATTGTAATCTCCGTGATCGCCTAATAGCTAGCACTTATCTATCCAATTCTCGGCGCATTTAAGTCTAAGACACGGGAATTTCCTCTCGGCTCTGCCAAGGTGGCTTTACCGGTACTACCGCACTTCACAGATTCGCACTTTACTGAGCAATCTTATGAAGTTTTATTCGCTTGGGGCTGGATATTGCCAAGGATAGCCAAGCAATGTGGTTGTATTCGCCATGTTTACGTTCATTCCTGTCAAGGGTGAACACGCCGAAGTGCATCTAAGTTATCTGTGGAATTCCTTGACACGAGCTTTTCAGTTGAATCTACCCGGCGAAACCAATTCGACTCATAGTAAGGGATGTTGCTTATGTGCAGGCGGGCTTATTCTCATAACAGCGCAGTGAAACGAACGGGCTTAGGGTGTCCGGGTTTGTTTTTAGACCATTTTTGTGTTCAGCGAAAATTATGACGTCGCTGCAATTATTTACGTCAGCTTGCCTTGGCCACTGCTGATTGATGATACTACTTCCATATTCGCACATGCTTCTGCCAACACGCCTTAAACTTATATTTTCCATATTGAACTTCATTGGGTACCCATTTTATACGCTTTTTGAACTTCAGGTGGATCGAATATTTCTTGAAGATTTTGGCAAAACTCCGTCAGAAGTGTTTGCCACATTCGACCCTGAGCCCATTGCAGCCGCTAGTCTTGCTCAGGTTCATCGTGCTGTCACAAAAGATGGGGAATATGTTGCCGTAAAAGTACAATATGAAGATCTTCGTGACCGTTTTCACGGCGATATTCATACGTTAGAATTTCTTTTGAAGTTGGTTGGATATGTTCATCCGAACTTCGGCTTCGCCTGGGTTCTTCAGGATATGCGTGTAAGTTTGTCTTGATGTCCGGTTAGTTTGTTTTAATTTGTGGGATAAAAATACACCGTCCTAAAGAAAAAAACTCCCGGTGGAGGGACGTCTGACGTGAGATTATCAGGATCTAGCGGCTGGTGTGGCTAACTTGTGGTTAGTTGGACCGAAAAAACCTATCAATAAGCTGCGTTTGCCTCTTTTTAAGTATCAAGGCCTATATAACATTCGCTCAAGATTTGATGACCCTGAAAATACACTAGAAGCCACGCTGGACCGTGCTAATTTTACCGGAAATACGACGGATTCTTGATTTATTCCCAAAACTGCCATGGGGATACCGTGATCACGTGTAGTGAGTAAAATGTCTATATTCATCTCCCAACTAGGCTCTCTCAGTGCCGTTAGGTCCCGGACCCATATATATATATGGGTCTGCGCCTACCTGATGAGCCCCAAGAATGGTGAAACCGGTCGTGGGCTGTCGAAGAGTTTTCAGCAACCTTGTGAGTAGTTTCCTTCATGAAAATGATACAACTTTGTTCGGTGCAGCAGCGATTGTATTGGAGGAGCTTTCCGTATCGGTGTACTGACAGAACGTGACAATGATGCTCTCGATTAGTACTGAGTTGTCTGTACTTGCCGTAGAGAAATTAAGCACTGTCAGAACATTTGCGAACAGAAGATTCTGTGTCAGATCCGATAGCGTAAGCTATCTTGCAGCAGTGTAACCCATTACGTCATTCCTGCAAACAGCTGTCTCACGCAGGTGATTGAAACTACACTGCACAACGTAATCCGGATGTCATCCATTTTTAAAGTGCGGACACTAAGTTGATGACTTGTGAAAGCCATAAATGCGTTTATGTCCTTGTGCTAACTCATGTTTGACAGGAATAAGTGAACCAGCGCAAGTAACTGCTGAAAATCCTCGGTGAAAAGATATCCTGCCTTTGGGGTTTCACTCTCAATGAGGGATTTCGCTGTTAGTATCCAAAACATTTTTCTCAACGACCACAATGCACTTATCGTGGCATACACTCGCACTTAGGCAGGGTGGATCGCTATCAACCCTCAGTCACGTGGTTCGATTCGGTGTGATGACTTTTCCACTAGCAGGTCTGTACGATCTGTGGGAGAATTCAGATTTTGGTTGCAAATGATCCCGACAAGGACGATGTAGATTACAGTGCTTCAGAGTACTTTTGCTTCATGTATAGAATGAAAATTCACTTGAAATTTGAGAATCCTAAACAGCCACGAACTACTTTGTTTTGCTTTACCCCATTACGTTTGGAAGGGGCAGGATATATTCGAATTCCTGTGTTCTACAGTAGCTCTCAAACTCTGTAGAGCTACAGATTCATTCCTGTTTCTATACGATAATGTCATTCTGAGTTATCACTTCTGAAGTGGCCCTGATGTAGCATATATATATATATATATATATATATATATA